CCCGGGGGGGGGGGGGGGGGAAACCCCCCCCCCCCAAACCCCCCCCCCCCCCCCCCAGTATATTGTAAACATGGCTACCTTTAGCACATGTCAGGGACAAAGATCACTGACCATTAAACGTGTTAGAAAGCATAATGCTGGGAAGAAATTATCAAGCTTTTCAGAAAAGTGCTTGAACTAAAATTTGTGTTGGTCTTTTTTTCTAGGTCTGTGAAGTGTATGCACTTCACAGGGAAACCTTTTACCTGGCTCAAGACTTTTTTGATAGATTCATGTTGACACAAAAAAATATCAATAAGAACATGCTTCAGCTTATAGGAATTACCTCATTATTCATTGCTTCCAAACTTGAGGTAAGTTGCTGTTTGTGGAGTTCTGTATTGCTGGTTGGAATAGTGTTTGTGATTTTTTTTTTTTTCTTTCTATTTTTATTAGAACTTCTGTAATCATTTTGGAGGGAGGAGAGTTATCAACATAAGCCTTCAGAATGTTTTGAACCTAGTAGTAATACAAGTAAAGCCTGTGTGAAGACAGAAAAAATAATTGTACTGCTTAAAGGGAGGGCTTACCATGATTCAGCTGAATCCTAACTGCTATTTTGTGGCTTTTAACTCCCACTTACCACAATATATTTTACCACCTGTCTTGTTTGGGTAAATCACTGCTTCACTTATGCATGATTGGGGCAGGCAGATGAACCAGTGGATCATCTGTTCTGCCCCCCACCTTCCCAGGTATAACTGTCTGTGCACACCCATAAAATTGTCAGTCCTCTGGTGAAGAAACCACATGTGCGACACAGCTTAAACCATGTAAGCTTTCTTCATCAACATAGCTGAATTTATATCTGGAATTTTGTTGGTTTAGAGTCTGACTTTTACTCTTACCAGTGTAATTTGTATGAGCAAGACTTTGTAGGGCAGATGTGACCTGGCTTTTGTCTAGGTTTCTGCCATAATATTGCTAAGATAATGTTATTGACAATGCAGTAGAGAGTAAGCCTTAGAAAATGGGATGGTAATTGGTGTAACTCACAACAGCTTTATTGGTCTGTTACAGCTGTTTAAATAGCCAAGCGTCTACTTTCTAGGATGTTTTAGTCAAGGATGACCCTGCCTTGTGCAGGGGGCTGGACTAGAAGATGTCATGATATCTCTTCCAGCCCTACATTTAAGATGATCCTATGAAGTGAGGGTTATAGAACATGAAAATAGTATAAGTAGGAAACAATTCAAATCCCTTGGCCAACATTTCCCCTCTAAATAAAAAATGTTCTAATAAATATATGGAATCTGGAATATCTACTCTACCCATTTCTGCATATGTAGGTTCCAATTTGCATTAGTCATAGAAAAAACAAACTACTTTGTTTTTATCATAAGAAATAACTGAAGAACTATTTTGTGTGAAAGGTAAGTTATCTCTAATAGTGGGGGAAAAGTTGTGAAATGCCTTCTTACAGTTTTTTGCAGAATCCAGAACTGTTGTAATGTTTACAATCTTTTTTTCCTATAAAAAGGAAATCTATGCTCCTAAAATACAAGAATTTGCCTATGTTACTGATGGTGCTTGCAGTGAAGATGATATCATAAGAATGGAACTCATTATATTGAAGGTAACAACAGTCTCTCAAGTTGGTTGTGTGGTGGCTGTATTCTAGCAACTTATTTCATGACTTTCTCCTAATACAAGCAAAAAGTATTTTAAGTTTAGCATCTGCCATTGGGTGAATGGCTCATTTAAGATGCTCACTTTTGCAGAAACCCTTCATTTTTGTCTTCTGCAAGAAAAGGTTGGGTTTCTGAGCCCTTGGTAAGTCTTTAACAAGTGACCCGTAACCCTGGCTTGCTACTCTACAACCACAACAATAACTCTTCTGACTGCAGGGGCATGTCCCAACAGGGGCTCACATGCAGTTTGCAGTGCCTCCAAAGCAGTAGCACATGTGAACCGATTTGCACTGTTTGTTTGCAGCATGGCATAGTTAATTTGTTTGTAGCTTTCTGGTAATAGGAGATCCTGGTGTCAAAAAAATGCCCCTAAAGCAGTGTGGTGCACATGGCAGCAGTGTGCTGCCAGAAAGGGATCCTGGCTAGGCTGGCTTTGGCTGCCCTGGGAGGTCCCAAAGACTCCAGGTACTGGCCCCAGCCTCCTCTGTCCCACCCAGGTAACTGCTATGTGCTGGGGCATGTGCAGAGACAAATATATGCCACTGTTGTTTGTCTCATGGGAAATGTGTGGCCCTTAACGTGTGTGCTTATCAGGACATGCCCCAGGTCTGCAAAAGGGTCCTTGCCTGGCCTGGGCAGAATCCTGTTTTGTAGAGATGTTTGGTTCTTCACTGAATGGAATCAAGCTTTTAAAACTTCAGAAACCACTATGGACATAAATCACTCTTCCCTGCTCCACTCTGTGAATGAACTAGGTATATCTTGGTGGAGAGCATATTTTGCCTCTTGTGGGCATCTTGTGCATAAGGATTATTATCTGCTTGGTAATGGTGAAGGGAGGAGTAGGAGAGGCATTCTGGTTCTTTTTACATAAAAGTTATATGTGGGGTCTTGGATGGCATTTTTAGATGTCATTCATGGCAGTTGGGTCTAACCTAAATGGGGAGGGAGGCAACTAAATTGAATGGGAAATGGGGAACCAGATGCAGAACATCTAGAGCTGTATTTTTGTGGGGCAAGAATGCTTTATGCTCTTAGTTCTAGGGCAGTTAAATGTTGTTTATTTGCAGGCTTTAAAATGGGAACTGTGTCCAGTGACCATCATTTCCTGGCTGAATCTTTATCTTCAAGTGGATGCTCTGAAAGATGTTCCAAAAGTGCTGCTACCTCAGTATTCTCAGGAAAAATTCATTCAGATAGCACAGGTTGGTAGTTCTCATTTAGTGCACATTATTAGTGTTCCTTTGTGGGGACAGAAGTATATTTGATGTGTCAACAGAGACTAACCAAGCAGGGTGCAGGGCCCCATCCCTGGACGTGAGGAAGCCAGCAGCAGATTCAGAGGGCGGGGAG